CTTTATTTAGCTTCTCACCCTGCACAGCCATCGCGTTTCCTCTTGAGCAGTTTGAGAAATAGGAAGATACATAGGTAAAAATGGAGAGGGCAGAGAAGAACTCGAACAGGTGCTCAAGTGGCTAATTTTGGCTTTGACAAGATATTAATGGCCGAAGTTGGAAGTCTTTTTAGGGTGAAATAAGTTTTGTTTTTTTTTTTTTTTTTTTTACTTTTGTGCATTTGGAAACCTTCTTAAGCAATCAAGGAAAATTAAAAATTCTTTTCATGCTTAGGGCAGATTTTTGTAATCTATTGTGTGCTTCAAGCTATGCAATTTAGTTTCCTGGATTCCAGAAAAGTTTTATTCTTGTACTTTAATCAATTCTTTCTCTTTTTAAAACTCTGAATCCCTGAAAATGGCTATTTCTGGCAAGCATAACATGTTACTCAAATTAAATTGCACATAGGTATTAAATAAGCTGGGCAAGGTTTAATTCCCGAATGGGTTTGGGTGCATTTGTTTATAAATCACAGGTGTGGTTACAGTTAAGTCTCCAGGTGGCTTTTGGAGAAATATAAGTTAATAAGGTGCTGGTGAAGAAATGCATACAGGTGCAAATGACTTTAGAAAGGCAGGAAAATTTTCCACTAACTTCATTACGGTAGATGAAAATTAAGTTGTGTATAGTTAGGAGGGTGACATAAATAGCTACAGGGGTCATATGACACGGCTAGGGAGGTGGAGGTTATGTGTGTGTAGCTAAAAATTGTGAAACATGGAAAGCTCTGGAGTGACCTGGAATGAAAATTTGGATATATAAAATATTAAGTGGGAAGCAAACTATTAAGGTATTCTAGATACAGTGTAACTGGAGTTAACATTAATTCTAGTCATAGCAGTAGCTGAGTTCAAGGTAAAATATATTTTCCTTTCCCAGGTCATCATGTACACTAGATGGTCCATTCTCCGCCGGGGCTCCCTAGAACATATGTTTTGAGATGTGATATGCCACGAATAATAGGATATTAATACCTGTTCACAAATTTTACAAAATTCCTCCTTTTTAAATCATTTGGGTGAACTCCAGTTTACTCCTCTTCATGGTGTGAGTCTCACTCACCTGTATTCAGACATTCCTGCTCCGTGGGACAGAGGAGGAAGGGACGATTCAGCTAGTGAGTTGTTACATGTCAGTGCCATACCAGGACCTGTCATGACTTAGCCTGTCAGATTTACTGCCATAACTGTAGAGGTTTTAATAATTGCAGTTTTTAAAATTCCAACCAGAAGTTTTTAGGTTTTATTAGAAATTTCTTAAATCTGGGCGCCTGGGTGGCTCAGATGGTTAAGCGTCTGCCTTCGGCTCAAGTCGTGATCCCAGGGTCCTGGGATCGAGTCCCACATCGGGCTCCCTGCTCCTTGGGAGCCTGCTTCTCCCTCTGCTTCTCTCTCTCTCTCTGTCTCTAATGAATAAATAAATTAAAAAAAAAGAAAAAAGAAATTTCTTAAATCTTTGGGAATATGTGTCCATGAGCGACATGGGATTATCTCATGGTAGAAAAATCTGCCAAGCTAGACTAAGGACCACGGAGAAGTTGTGCCATACACCAGGTTTGGAGAAACTCAGGACCCCCTCTGGCTTGCTCGTGTATACTATGGTAGTCTACATAGTGTATTAGTAAGTGTTCTCCAGAGAAAAAGATACAATAGGAGGTGTGTGTGTGTGCACGTGTGTGTGGGTGTGTGTATGATTTATTATAAGGAATTAGCTCACGTGATTATGGAGGCTGACAGATCCCAAGATCTGCAGGGTGAGTCGGCAATTTGGAGACCCACAAGACCTGATGATGTGGTTCTAGCCCAAAGGCCCTCAGATTTAAGACCCAGGAGAAGTCAGTGTTTCAGCTCTGGTCCAGACGCAGGAAAAAGCTAATGTCCTAGTTTGAAGGCATTCAGACAGGAGGAATTCTCTTTTATTCAGGGAAAGGTCGGCCTTTTTTTTTTTTTTCTCAGACCTTCGACAGATTAGATGAGGCCCACTTACTGCAGGGAGGACAATCTGCTTTACTCAGTCTACCTATTTAAATGTCAGTTTCATCCAAAAACGCCTTCACAGAAGTAATATATGACCAAATACCTGAGCACCCTGTGGTCCAGTCAAGTTGACACATAAAATTCACCATCACACATGGTATCTGTACATGTCCAGGACAGATATCAGTACTCAATAAATATTGATGGATGGATGTTTGTTGGAAAGATGGATAAATGAATGAATGTTCATCACAGATGTTAAAGAATTGTAAGTTTCCATTTTATAAATCTGGAAATACTTCTGTTTTTGCTGGTTAAAAGGCTATAACTTCACAGAAGTTTGTTTGAATTTGAGTATTCTTTGGCCCTGGTGTTTAGCACATGAGCCAAGCTGAAGGTGATACCTACCTTTGAATACTCCAGAATACTCCAAAGGATCTAAACTTTTTCTTCTCTGAAATTGCATGTCTTTTTTCTTACTATTTTTTTCCTTTAGTATCATACTACCTCTCAGTTTTTCTTACATTTCCATGGCCTCTTTTTTTCTTATCAAAAAGGTATTTAATATTTATATTTCATTTTGTATCTTTATTTATATTTATTTATATTTAGTATTTATCTTTTCTTCACCCTAATTCATTTTAGTTTTGGTTGGCTCTGCCTTTATAAACTTCCTTCTAGTGGCTTCTTGCCAATTGCCTTTACTTTTACTGTGTAGATAATAACTTTTCAGATTTTAATTGATGTAAAAGTGTTTGTTGAAATCCCATGAGTGATGACAAACTCAGTAGTGTGGCTACAGCCATAAAAAAACTGAGCTACAACGTCAATATTTTGAAAATGAATTATATTTTCTATTAGTAACGAGTTTCTTTTTCTTTATTCTGATATGTGCGCCATAGAATTATGAAGTTTTCTTGACTTGCACTTCTTTTAGTTCCTACTGGGTAGATGCTGCCAGTATTTAGCGGAGATGGTTAATGTCAGTAACTCTCAATATTACAAAATGCTTAAGAGTGTAATGTACTTCCTAAAATATGATGGAAACACCATAGTTTAAAGGATTTTGCTAGTAATAATCTTTCTCCTCTGATCAAAAAGTTAATACGTTTGCTGTAGAAAATTTGAACAGATAATCATGTATTTTTTTAAACAACTGAAGTATGGTAAGTTTACTCTGAAACAGCAGATGAGCAAAAAGAAGAAAATACCCCGTGTGGCATAGCTAGTTCGCTGCCACCTGGAAAGACTTCTGTTCCTCGATTAGCTAGATCCTTCCAGTTCCTCCCTCTGGTTATGTACATGTACAGTCAACCCTCATTATTCGTGGATTCCATATTTGTGACAGAGCTGATTCCCTAAAAATGATTTGTAACCCCCAAATCAGTATCTACAGCCCTTTCAAGGTCATTCGCAGACCTGTGCAGAAGGGTGAAAACGCGAGTCACCTAACACATACCGTCGCAACAGATGTCCCGCAAAACAAGCGTGCTTTCTTGTTGCGGTTCTCATACTGTAGGTAAGCGTCCTTTCTGCGGTCTATTCACTGTCACGTTTTCACATTTTTGTGTGCGTTGTTGGTGATTTCATTGTTAAAAGTGGCTCACAGGTGTACTGAAATGCTGGCTGGTGTTCCTAAGTGCGAAAAGGCTGTGATGTGCCTTTTGGAGAAAATGCCCACATTAAGCTTCATTCAGGCATGAGCTATAGTGCTGTTGGCCATGTGTTCAATGTTAATGAATTAACAGTAGATATTCAATCAGGTGTTTTTAAACATAAACACACAAAGAACGACGTTATGTATTGACCGGGTGATGAAAATGTTATGACCAGAGGTTCCCAGGACCCTACCTCTGTATTTCTCCTAGGAGCAAGAGAAATATTGGCTGAGTCAGCATTTGCCACAACTTTTTTTGAACATAACTTCCTGGGGTAATGGAGATCAAATTTAATTTTTTTTTCTTTTCTTAAAAATTTGAATTCCACTGTACTTTGTGCATTTTTCCTTGATAGTATATTTTTAATATTTTCCTGTGTCATTAAATGCTCTTTAACATCTTTTTAATATTTATGCAGCAGGACAGCATACAGATGGGATGTCAGTTTATTGAATAATCCTCCTTTTAGAGAATACTTACTAGGCTCTCCCCTAGTAAGTAACTTTTTACTACTGTATGCAGTTCTGGAATAAACATCCTTGTAGCTTAATCTTGATCATATCCATGATTATTTCCTCAGGAAAAATTTTCTGCAAATGAAATTTTTGGAACACGGAATATGCATATTGAGACTTTTGCTCTTTGCAAGATTGCTTTGTGACCTTTCTAGTATATTCCTTTCTAAAGAAGATGAAATTGGGCACCTGGGTGGCTCAGTTGGTTAAGCGACTGCCTTCAGCTCAGGTCATGATCCTGGAGTCCTGGGATTGAGTCCCGCATCGGGCTCCCCACTCGGGGGGGAGTCTGCTTCTCCCTCTGACCCTCCTCCCTCTCATGCTCTCTCTGTCTCATTCTTTCTCTCTCAAATAAATAAATAAAATCTTTAAAAAAAAAGATGAAATTAACAAACTATTTTTATCAAATTTCAAAAACAGGCATTTGAGGAAAAAACTAGTAAAGTTACTTTTATCTTTTATTTCGGTGGCCATTTATAGTGTTTTGATGTATTTAAGTTTCAGGGCCTTGTATTTCAGATGTGCAGAGAATTGCAGATTGGGTAAGAAACGTTCGATTCCTTCAGTCCAGCCTCCTCTTTTGTACTGATAAAGTTGGAGGCTTGTTTGAATATTTTATTGTGAATTTAATTTTTTTTTAAACACACCAAACTACAGAGCTTTATTTTCTTCTGAATATTTTCACCCATAGGTGTAGAGGAGAACTCAGACTGTTCACCTCCATTTCCAACCCCTCTTAGGTTTCTCTCTTCTAGCTTTGTTTCAGATATCTAAATTCAGAAAATATGAGTCACACGTGTATTCTATGTAGGGACGGATGCTAAGTGAAGAGGGAACATGAAGACCCCCTGCTGCAAGGGAGATCCTGATTTCATGTCACAGGAGGAATCAAAGCAGAATTCATTGGAAATACAGAGGCTGGAGCAAATATTACTTTCTGCTGTGTTGTCAACCCAAAGAAACAGCATGTGTGCTAGACATTGAAAGACGACTTATGTTCATGGGGGAAATTATCTAATGCCATAAATTTGCATCCTTCTACTACATTGGCAGATTTTTAATTTCGCTTATGATCTTTCTCGAGTAGGGAGCATGTCTAGCTTCTTTATTTTTAGCCTTGCTGCTACAAGAAAGCAAATGTGGATTTATGCTATGTAATTCTTATTTACAAAGTCCATGTGGCATTTCATAGTTTGTATGTTTCCTCTTGACAAATCTTTGGTTTGTTTCTGCAGTGCCTTTGTGATCGTAAATCATCAAATAGTAATGTTAGATTGAATACGTAATATTGGAGTGTGTTGATATATTTTAATTTATTGACATTCTTCCCTAATTTGATCATTTTGGATTTCATTCCACTTTTTGATTATTACATGTAATACCAAGTGAACAACTTATTGCTTATATCTTTTTTATTTCTGGTGGGGTATTTTTAGTGCATATATTCCTATGAGCGGAACTACTTGGAAGTACTTTATTGCTTTTGTCATGTATTTTTATATTGCCTTCCAAAAATGTGTTGCTAATTAATAGTAATCCCTACAATAGTTACCTCATGATTGTGTGTTATGTGTGGTATATTAAAAAAAAAAAATCCTGCTTTCTTTGTGGCCATCAAATGGCATCTCAACGTTGCTTTAATTTATATAGTTTTGATTACTAGCAAGGATCAATCTTTTTCTAATAGTATTTACTTTGGAATTTTGTCTTGTGTAAAATCGCTGTTCATAATTTTTACCCAAATGCTTGCTTCCGAGAGCCTTTTCTTTGTCACAGTTAAGGTCATTCCATTCTTTATGGAATTATTCCAAGTTAAATGTTTTGTGTGTGTAAAATGTAAAGCCTGTAACGTTTAACTTTTATAGACCCACTAGTAGAGAGGGAACAACACCTCACGTTATTGGGTTCTCACTTGGATGCAGACACTTTAAGGAATAAAAACACGTCTGAACCACCCTCATTATGACCTGTGAAACAAGCAGCCAGGGCTAGTCCAAAATGCTGAATTCCCAAATAGTTCACCTTCTGACATTGGAATGCCCCCAGGTATCCAGAGTCATAACGTCTTCTGCCTCACACAAATTCATCCATCCCTCTTCTGAGTTGTTATTCTACCTCTCCGTTGTGAAGCTTAATCCCAGTAGATTGTAATTCTTTTTTCTGTGCCTGTGTTTTTCCCTTCTGGATGCTTCCCAAGGAGTGGAAACCTAGTCAGATTCTTCTTCTTCTTCTTCTTCTTCTTCTTCTTCTTTTTTAATTCTTCATGCCTAAGTTTGTTTATTCATTCAGCAAGAATTTATTGGATGTCTGAATGCTATCTTAAGCTTTATTGGGTATGGAGGAAAAAACCTTGGTCTCTGTAATCTGGCCAGATCGTTTACAGCGAGGGGAAAACTTGGGTCCCTATGTAACAGAGTGTGAAGTCTGAGTTTAGAGCTTAGGATGGTTTTTAAGCACTAAAAAATACGGGTTGAGACACCATAAGGCTACAGTGATTGGGAATTATTGGGGAAAAAATATGTAATAACATGTTACAAATTTTTAAAGGTTATTTTCTCAAACTTGAGAGATTTTTAGTTAAATTGGCCTGGCCAATTGTAAATCCCCTCCCTCATTCGTTAAAAATTTTGTCAGAGGAATGTAGTATTTAGAGCTGGCAGAGATCACAGAAATCATCTATTTAAAACTCCTTTTTACAGTCGAGGAAACGAAACTTTAAAGCAGTTGTGACTAGCTGAGGGCTTTTCCAAAAAGAAAATATTTCAAAAATGTAGAAGGGTAGATTTCCTCATAAATATGATGGAGAACTTTACACATCTCTTTGCACATTTGAGCCCAAGGGTTTTTAATCAGATCCAAGAATAGTTTAGATTCACCCGTATATGTGGGCTCTGACCGTGTGTCTGGCTGGCCTATCCCATCTTCATCCTATATGTACTTCCCAAAATGCTTCAGGGATCTGGGACCTGTGATGATTAATCTTTTTTTTTTTTTTAAGATTTTATTTATTTATTTGACAGAGAGAGACCGCGAGAGAGGGAACACAAGCAGGGGGAATGGGAGAGGGAGAACAGGCTTCCCGCGGAGCAGGGAGCCCGATGTAGGGCTCGATCCCAGGACCCTGGGATCATGACCGACCTGAGCCGAAGGCAGACGCTTAATGACTAAGCCGCCCAGGCACCCCTGTGGTGATTCTTACATTTGTATGCTCTACGCTTTTTAAAAAGTGAGATTGAAATTTGCTTTTGGTTTCTATTCTTGATCCTCTTTGTGACCAAGACCTAGATTAATTACTACAGGGTTTTGAGTTTTAGTTTTTCAGTATAATATATAATATGTAAAGGAATGCAATAATATGTTAAGGAAATTGTATTAATCATGCAACTGGCTGGCTGTGATCGTGTTTTTCACAATGTTTTATCTGAACTTTATGGTCAAGTGTTTTATTGTTTTTGAGAACAATCCAGTGTTTTCTTTTCTACTTTGCTTAGACTTTAAAAGATAAAGACAAATTTATCTTAATCACACCAGACAAAGCTAGCATAGTGGCCTCCACATGGGATTAGACTGTGTAAAGGACAGAAAGAAGCCTTTGAAACTGTATTGTCTCTTCACTGAATTATAAAAATTTAGAACTCCTACCTTATTTATTACATGGAAACTCTTTTAGTTAAGATAAGGACTCTTGGGCAAGAAACTCCACTTAGCATCTTCTAACTTGGGCTTTATTTTTGGTATGCATCAGAGATTTTTGTTCTTGAGTACTTTTTAGGGGAATATTTGATTTCCCTGAAATACTAAATTTTGTATACATGTGTATTTTTTTTTTCTGAAGGGGTTCATAGCATCATGAATCGTATTCTCAAAGGTGTCTTGAACAAAAAGATGAGGAGGAGAACCATTGCCCCAAACTTTGATGCAGTATTTGAAGGAATGCAGTAACTTAGGAAATCACAAACAACTTTGTTGTCCCTCTCTTTTTAAGCAAGTCCCTCAGAATGACAGAAATCAAAGTTCAGTGTTACCTGCACTTGTAATTTGCCCAATAATATGAAAAATACTCAAACTCATTGATTGTCTTTGAAAAGAGCATGTAACTGAAATGGAGAGGACTTGGCCTAGGCTTGACCATTGATTGCTTCCACTTGATGTCCAAGAAAATTTCTGTGTAATGGACCTCATCCCTCACTGTTAAAATGAGAGGATAGATGTGAAGATTTCTGTGTGTGTGTGTGTGTGTGTGTGTGTGTGTCTTTCTCCCATAACTTCATTCATTAATTGGAATATAAATAAAATTAGAAATAAATACTAGAAGTATGATTTGATACCACCCCCAAATTATGGATTTTGTTTTGCTGTGGTTTCTTCAAAGACTGGGTCTCTAAAAAAACAATATTGTACATTAGGATTTTCAACTGCTTAGTTTTTGTGAGGCTTTTACTATTTTCATACTTTTGGTTTGTTTTATTTTTCTCATCTGATCAATATTCCTGTTTCTTGAAAATAGGGCCATTGAAGGAATTTTGATAATTGGATTGAGTGCTGTTTAATGACATTGGGCTTTTGAGTGGTGATGACTAGAATTTATGTGCCCAGTGGTTTGTCTGACTTACTTGTTTCATTTTATAATAATCATCTCAAATTCGAACACAAACAGGGGCACCTAGGTGGTTCAGTCCGTTGAGCATCTGCCTTCAGTTCTGGACATGATCCCGGGGTTCTGGTGTCTAAACCCATGTCAGGTTCCCTCCCCAGTGGGGAGTCTGCTTCTCCCTCTTCCTCTGTCCTTTCCCCTGCTTGAGCTCTCTCTCACTCTCTCTCTCTCTCAAATAAACAAAATCTTTAAAAAAAATTTCAAATACAAACATAATCATTCCTTCAATTTAAAAAAAGGCTAAGAAAAAAAACTTTTAATAAAAATAAAAAAGGAGGACGCCTGGGTGGCTCAGTCATTGAGCGTCTGCCTTCAGCTCAGGTCATGATTCCAGGGTCCTGGGATCGAGCCCCACGTCGGGCTCCCTGCTCCGCGGGAAGCCTGCTTCTCCCTCTCCCACTCCCCCTGCTGTGTTCCCTCTCTCGCTGTGTCTCTGTCAAATAAATAAAATATTAAAAAAAAAAAAAAGAAATAGTTGATACAGTGAAAGAATGTGGCTGATTGAGAGTCCCATGTAAGGAAATGTGTTTCTATGTTAGTCTTTGGCTGGAACTAAAACAAAGCAGAATTAACCAGAGGACGATGCTACACAGTGGACATAATGGCATGAGTCCCCATGTGTAATTAGTACAGTGTGAGTGTGGTCTGCATTAACATGAGCAGCATCAAGTTCATAATTCAGAAAGGGAATAAACTCCTAAGTGTGTCAGGTTTATTGCCTTTGCCTCTTATCTCAAGGAAGGACACCACATGGCCCTGTATTTGTATACTCTTGCCATGACAATTCCTTCTGTCAAAAATGATTTTCTCCAGAAGGATGGTATGTAAATTCTTGGCCGATCATTCAAAAAAAGGAAGGGAATTGCATTTTTTTAACCAGCAGTTTTCAAAATACTGTTTTGGCATATGAAAGGAATTAACAACTCCCTATAAGTGTTGGTATCATGTATGTGCATTTAATGATAATAAGACCTAAAACATAATTGCATAAACAGTAGAAGAATCTTTCCTCCTGATCTTCTGATTATCTAGACATGGCAGATTTTTTTTTTTCCCCCAGAGTTTCATTTTCCAAAGTAGTAGGGAAAAGTGTCAAGGAGATTTTGACATCAGTTATTTGTGAAATCACCTTGAAGCTGACTTAGTTCTGTCTAGAATGATGTTGAAATGTGCAATAATAAATCACTCCCCAGTTCTTAAGAATAACAGCCCAAAGTATCTTATTTGTATGGTTGTTCCATATCTAGCTCATGTATTGTTTTGTTCATTATTATAATACTTAAAAGGGGATGTGGTCAATGAATTCCACTTGAAGTTTTCCTTATGCTCTTAAATCTTTCATGAACTGTGTAAGGAGGACGAAAGCATTACCCTATACTTCTAAATACGTGGGGATATAGGGATTCTCCAACTTAAAACTAGATGGCATTTCATTTTTTATTTGTCAGTTCTTTGTAAATTAGTAGAACTTTTCTGTCATAATGGTGTTAAAAACTAAAAGAAAAGAAAAGGCTACTAAGGGTCACAGGCCAGTCTACCAAAACTATTTATTTTGTACTGATTTCCTTTCTATGGACAATTTTCTTAATTTGTATTGGGTATTTCAAGAATGAAATCCCTTTTGCTCCTTATTAGCTCCAGTAATAGGAGTTTGTAGATACAGTATTTATGTCATTAGTTATCTAATTATTTGCCCATCACATGGTGGCCACGGTTCAGATGCTGGTTTAATAAGATTAATCATAATGCTTTTAGTACTGTGAAGGTGCTGTCGTGTTGTCAAAGGATTATTTAATGTTCAACATGAACAAACCCTCTTGAGGTGTGCCTGTTCTTGTTTTTTTTCTTTTATTCTGCCTTTCTTGACGGTCAGTTAAATAGACTTCTACAGAC